GTCCCCGTATGATGCTAGCGCCGAAAAGTAAACTGAAATATGCGGTATCCTTCATACCAGAAATCGTATTGACGGACTGTTTGTCTCTTTGGTTGTCTGTTTAGCTGACGGTCAGAAATTTGACATTTCCCAGAAAACTACCTGAATAGCCTGGGTCAATTTTGGGAAGGACTGGGCACCCACGGGGGACGAGATAGGCAACATGCATATAGGGGGATCTAGCCATTAAACTTATGATTCCGTTCCGAGACTACTTGGAAATCCGGAAAATGGGTAAGAGGGAGGTAAGAGGAAAAGGGATCAGGCGCTATTAGGGGACTGGTGTGCACCGTGATGGACAGAACTTCCCATGAAACCTATGGTTCTTTCCTGAAACCGCTCAGACAACGAGAAGGAAGTTGAATAATTCTCTCCTGAGACCACTCAGACACCGGGAAGAAAGTCGATATGGAGTGTGAGGAATGCGAAGTTACCCTCCCCTTCAAAAAGCGAGAAAGTGTCGGGTGCAGACCAAACACCACAACTGACGACGGCCTCCAAGTAAATCTGGTTAGTAAGTGGTTCATAGTGATAGCTGATTTCTGGTAAATGATAGTTGTAATTAGTGACAATCGGAGAATACGTCATTTCTCAGATATCACTTATTGTTAGAAATAAATTCAAAGGTTGACTGATTTTCTCTGCACAATCCCTTAATCATGACAAAACTGAATACCATTTTTTGAAGCTAAAAACTTCGCTCAAGGATGGAATAAATACTTTATTGGTTACTGGTTAACAACTTCAACATTGTCGTGGTTCTTCAACCAGGTGCTTATAGCTGAGCTGATTCTCTGCATTTCTTCTTCTGATATGACCTGAAAAAGCTATGAGTCATTATTTTAACACTTCTTATTGAGGAACCGAGTGCTACAACTCCTGTATGTCTGTATTCACTGTATGTCTACAAGCAGGTTATCACTAAATGGAAAACTCCTTGAAGCTTCAGTCACTGATATCATATCATCATCACATGTGGAAAGGCAGTGATCATGTCTCGTTCTCAATGAAGTATGAAAAAGAAACCGCTGAACCATGTTGAAGTGAATGAGAAAGCAGAAAAGAAGTAACCAAAACCTGGGAAACGGTATCGTAATCTTCTTTGGTTAGTCTAAGGATAACTTACGGTTCAAATCCAACCGGGAAGGTCTTTGCGGTTGTGGCGCAATTTTTCAAAACGGTTTCTCGTATTATACAATGTGCATGGAACATAAATCCACGCTTCTTTTCTCCTGAGCAGTCCTTTGAAAGGCCAAAAAGGGGTGAACGATTGGTTCGCAGTTCAAATCCCCTTGATGACAATGTTTCGCCTCCTCGATCGACGCTTGTACGATGTTGCAAATTGGTACGTGCGGCTAGTTATGGATGCTACATTTAGTACTACTGTGCCCGTGAAGAACCCGTATAAGTAGGCTTTTGCCAGAAGTGGTGGCACTCGAGTGGCAAGTAGCGGTGGCTTTTGAGTCTTTTTACCACTTTTCTGGCATTCTCAGGGTGGCTCAGGAGAAATGAATCATACCACTCTGTTCCTTGCACGGCACCCAAACTTTGAAGACGAGGCACGACTTGAGGGACTTTCCCAGTAAGATGAAAAGATGGAGTATGTGGTAAGGTATACACTGCTTGTCAATGAAATGTGCGCTCAGAATAAAGGACCATAACTTGCGTAAAATTAGCCGATATGCCCCCAAACAAGCCAGTCACGACGAATGAAGCGCTTTCGCGAGCACGAGAATGTGCACCATTTTTTAGCGAAGCCCTGTCACAGTGATGGTAGAGGTTAGTGAAGGTTCGGTTAGCCAATATCCTGCCCTTTCCTGCCTTTCCCGACACAAACGTCCTGATTACCATGACCGCTGCCTCTGGACTGCTTTGTCCTGGGCTATTTTCGTGGAATGTGTTGGAAAAGGACAAAGATCCGCGGATTTCAACTTACATTTATTGGATGTGGAACTGCAGACTGTGGATATGCTGGCTGTGGAATTGGAGACGGCATTGCTGACTGTGGATATGAAGGTTGCGGAATTGATGGTTGTGGAACTGCTGGCTGTGGGATTGGCGGCGGCATTGCTGGCTGTGGATATGAAGGTTGTGGAACTGATGATTGTGGGAAGTGCTGGCTG